TTAAAAGTCAAGCTGGACACTGCAGAAAAGAGGATGAGATGATAAGGAGATGGGGGGGGGGCACACAGCAGGGCCACCTCTGCCTAGGCAGGGACACCGGTGTCGACAAGAAGAAGGCAGAGGGAGTGTCCTTGTCAGGCTCCCTGTGCCATTCAAGCCAAGGAGCATGCACCTTCATCTCACTACATCTTACCAACCTGACAAAAGCTGTGCTATAACTTTAAAATAGGTCATCTTTTATTGTGAATGGGAATGTACACTTTTATATTTCTGTGGCTTTGCTATTTCTGTGGTCACAAGAGTTGGTCGTCTCAATTTGCTGTCTTGTGAGTGATCCATTGGCATTTCTTACCTACTGGATACTATGTATTTCTTATTTATTGATATGCAACAAAAAAATGCAAGTGTATTTATTCCTAGGATTTGTAGAGGGTAACTTGTGCATTCGTATGTGGAGTGCCTTAATCAGTGATAACTGGTTGATGGGTGCACAGTCGATGAACAGGGAACACACACTGGGGCTCATCCTCTGGTGTGGGTAGTTACAGTCAGAGCTCAGTGGCTCTAATCCAACCACTGTGCTCCAGCATTGTGCTTTGCTAATGAGTGGGGGGCTTCGTGCCATGAGAAAAGCAGCCCAGGACCTGCGCATATGCACGTGGACTCAGACGAGGGTCTTCCGGCACATCTGATTGGGTGAGGATGTGTGCAACGTCCTTGGTACTTCCTGTGAGTTTTTTCTTTGGGGGGGGGGGGTGATACTGGGGATTGAACTCAGGGGCACTCGACCACTGGCCCACACTCCCCGCCCTATTTTGTATTCTATTTAGAGACAGGGTCTCACTGAGTTGCTTAGTGCCTCGCCATTGCTGAGGCTGGCTGTGAACTCGCGATCCTTCTGCCTCAGCCTCCTCAGCCTCTGGGACTACAGGTGTGCGCCACTGCGCCCAGCCCTGGGATTGTTGACAAACACCTGGCAGAGCACTGTGCTCCATCCTGTGTGTGTTCTCCTCTCCCTCGTGGAGAAGACCTGGAGCCTCGCTGGCCCCTGGCTGCTCGCGGATCTCCAGGTGGCACCCCCAACAGAGCTCTTCGCCCAAGTCTGTTTCCTTCAGGAAGAGACATCCCTTTCTCCAGGCCACAGGGAACTGAGAGGAGAAGAGCAAGAGAGGAATGGCGGGGACAAGATCATAGCCACAGGAGCACCAGCACCTGATTCCTGCTGTCCCCTCTCCCTGGGACCCTGTGCTCTCCGTCAGAATCATATCAAAGTCCAGCCGAGGCAGGAGCGAGACGATGCTTAGGCTCTGGAGTAAGGGAGGCAGCGTGTGGGGACAGAAGCCAAGACTGCCTCGAAGGGCAGAGGTGGACAGCTCCTGGGCATCGATGGGTGGACAGGGACCAGGCCCGTGATGTCATCGCACGGAGAGGTGGGCTTAGCCGCCCTCTCTGCCTCACCTGCCTCTTCATTTGTGTCAACACCATCTGTCTCCACCTGGGTGTGGATTTCCTATGCTAATAAGGAGCAGTAACTAGAGGTTTCTGCAGTGACTGTTCAGTGCGGGTACATGGCCCTCACAGCTGGACTTTGTCCTTTATCATCTGGGAGAGTCCCTGATATTGTTTTCAGAACCGGGCAGACTATTGCCCTGTGTCATGGGTTTGATTTAAGTGACGTGGTCTCATCCAGCTGTGGCTCCTTGGTATCTCTGCTGAACACACAGTCTTAGAAAGCTGGACTGACTTCCTAATCTCCTAATTAAGAATCATCTTAATTCCGTAGCCTTAAAGACTGGCTCATTTGTTAACACCTAATTTTCTGGTGTGTCTGTTAACCCCATAAGACTGAGAGCTGGCTTGACGGTCTCATATCTACCTCCTTATTTAGTATTCAGTCCCAAATACGTCCGGCACATTCACTATTGACCCAGAGAAACCCTAATTTCTTTCACGTTGCTCCTAATCTTGCCACTAACAGAGAAAGTTCACAGGAGACCGTCCTGGGCACTTGCAAAGTAGCCGTACCCTGTCCTCACTCACTGCCATGAAGGTTTCTTTCTGCTCCCAAAACAGGTGCGACCTCTTTCCCCACAGCCTCAGCAATAAGGCCAGTGTTCAGAATTTATTCTATCAGCTTCAACAATGGACAAAACCAAAGGAGGCCCTGACCTAGGAACTGGCAAAGAAACCCACTCCCCGGAAGCAAGCCCACGGGAGCCAAGCCAAGGAAGACAGGCAGGAGCCTTCTTCAGGGGTCCATCCAGTTATTTCCACAGCTCAGGCTAAGAAGGCCTCAGGGCCTGACCTTCTCTGTGGCTACCCTTCTCTCTGGAAGCAGTGGGGGTAAGGGAGGTTTGTTTTGTAAATGAGCTTCAAGTCCTGGAAGAGTTAGAGGAAGAAGAGAGGCGGAGGAAATGAGCTCTGGAGACTGCGTGGTCACGGGCACTGCTCCGCGGGAGTTCACGGGCAGTTTGGCAACTGTCAAGAAACAAGCATTGGGTGTCCCTGCTGTATTTTGATTTGATAATTTTATCAGCTTTTTCTATCCTGTGATTTCTACTTTTTGATTTTAATTTACTTTCTGCTATTGATATGGCAACCCTAAATTATGAGTTTTTGTGTGTGTGTGTGTGTGTAAAAGTCTGAAGATTCTGGACTATTTTACATCGCTTCTAAATTCCACCTTTCCAAATCATTTCACTTAATAAGTGTTTTTCAAAAAGGACATATAAGTGACTTCAATTATTTCACCGCTTGGAGAGCTGTCCCTTTGGTCTAGATGCATCAAATCCAACTGCGTCTGACGTTGCAAATGTACCTCATTTTCCTGAGTTGATTTGCTTCCTTGCAGAAACTCCTCCTTATCTTGGTGGTCTTCCTCCTGCTGCTGCCCTCCTGCCTGCTCGAGTAATTCAGAAGTTTTATAGAATATGTTACATTTCCGTGGTGCGTACACTTCCGAAGTCGTTGATGAAGTGTTCAGTTTCACACTTACAAGCTAATTCCTTCTCTGCTTCCTTTTCCTCTTCAAAATGGGGAGCCCTTTCTGTTTCTGACAACTGTTCCTTGGCTGGGCCAGGTCTGCTTGAGCTGCTATGGCCACCTGGTGACAGGTATAGGCCCTGGGACCTCTGAGCTTGCCTTGCAGGTGACAGGCGAGGTGGTGGGAGGCTCTGGGAACAGCGGCACCTAGCGGCGTGTAGCAGAGCTCTTTTTCTTGGTCTTGCTTTTCCCTTTGCTGTGCTGATAGTGTCACGGGAGTCCTGGGCCAGACACCCATCTTCAGGGTTCTAACCAACCAGGTGCAGTCATTCACCCCAAAAATCAAACAGAAAAGCAGGAAGAGAAATTTGTCCAGTTGGCCACACTGGGAAGGCAAGGCGAGGTCCTGCATCTGATCCCTGTCTTGGGGCACTGACAAGAGCTGCAGGTTAAAACAGGAAGAATTGGGGTGGGGGCGAGAGGTCTGGGTAACCCAGCAGCCTTGGTCCAGCTGTGGTCTGGTTGATCATTCGCTCAGTGCTGGCTCTGCAGGTGGCTCCAGAGACACCCTATCACTTGAGGAAGTTCACGGGGAATCCCTATTCCTTCCTGCTCCCTCATGCAGAATGACTTCCAAAACACAGAACGCCGATCTTGTCCTTCCCACTAACACACTAACCCACCCACTGATCTAGTGCTTTCTTGCTCGGTCCCAGTACCTGGGTGCTCTAGCCCTTCGGAACCCCACAGCCTACTCACCCACCCTGCCTTTCTTGTTCTCTGCACTCTGTCCACGCCTGACTGCTCTCTCTCGCATCCAAACCTTGGCGTACGCTGTGCCCCTTCCTAGAACATTCTCCCCGTGGACCTCCTGCCACAGTTAACACTTGTCCTCCAGATCCCATCTGGAGCTTCGTGTGTGACCTCTCTTGCCTACGTCGCTGCACATGCACATCACTCACTCTCCTGTGCATGTCCCCATTGCTTCAATTCCCACGGTTACCATTACACATTCATTTGTGTGATACTCGATTAAGGCCACCTGCCTTCTGAGATACTGAGCTCCTGTGAGCTGTGTATGATTTTGTTTTCTGTTATGCCCCCCTGAGCAATGCATACATGTTCATCAATATTCACTTAGTTTTTGAATTTTTTTGATCTCTTTCATGGCTCCTGTACTGCCCATGTGGGGGCTCACTGAGAGCAGACACACTAGGTCAGTCCCTGACCCCGGGACTGGGATCAAGCCAGTGTGGGTCTTATATAGTTTTTTGGGACACTGAATGTGGCACAATGATGGCAAGGTCCCAAAGGTCAGAAGCAAATGAAGACCATCTAAGATGGAAGGATCTCTATGAAGATATGTTTGAGGGGACAGGAGAGAAACTGGACAATGTTTATCCACTAAGCTGCCAGTAATCTGCCTGGACCCACACACCAGATGCGGGACCAAAGTCAAGGTGGCCACAAAGATGGCGGCTATGGGTGAGCTGGATCCACGGAGCACCTGAACAATGAGATACGACCGAGCTGATCCCAATGGAGAGCTGGCATTCCCAGAGAGCAAGTTCGGAAGAGCCCACACCTGCTGCCCACACCACTGCAGGACGTTCATTGCTCCTGTTGAGATGGATTCACTCTCTGTCATCCTTTTCTCCCTGCAGGTTTCCGTGCAGACATCGTACCCACACGGAGCCTCGGAAGGGCCTGATTCCCTCCTGCCTCAACATGAGAGCGACTTTGCCTGCTTAGGTCTCCTGGTCTGGGGTACTTTCCATTGTTTCAGAAATTAAGAGAATGGAGGACACTTAGCCATTCAGACACACCTACGGTTTCCTCTGTAAAATCTCCCAGCCTGGTAAAATCTTCAGTATTACAGAGGCAAGGACATGAGGAGACACTGAAAACCAAGCCAGTTCCCATCACGGGGCTATCCAGCCACGCAGGCTCAGAGGGGAAGGTCCGTGGGGGACAGCAGTGGACACCAAGTGAGGGAGCGCATGCGCCGCTCTGTCTGTTCAGAGGTGGGTGAATCTCCGCTCTCTGGCCCAGTCCTGAACTTCTGCTCGGCCGAAGATGAGGTAGAAGACCAGACCTGAGATGTTGACGGCAGCTGCCAGCAGGAACATGTTTCTCCAGCCAACCTCTGGATCCTGGAGACAGGAAACTGTGAGTCAGTAATGGCCGCGTGGTTCTCACCCCTTCTGCTTCAGAGACGGGGCCCTGCCCTGCTGCTGCCCCCCCTGCTCCAGCCTCGGGGCCTCTGGCTGTTCCTGGGATATGCGGTGGCTTTCCTGATGTGGGGGAGAATGCGCTGGCCTCCTCCCCCGGGGCCGCCCTCCTCCCTGGGTCGCCCTCCCTCGGATACCCACTTGGCTCACTCTCACTTCCCTCCACCCCTTGGTTAAGAGCTACCTTCTCAGGGAGTCCTGCCTTGAGCACCCCACTTAATTGAAGTTCCAGTCCCTGGCATGTGCACCATGGTAAAATGTACACATGTAAGATGTTCCATGCTCTCGGCTCTCACCACCACTCCATCAGTCATGCATTTTACCCTGGTTTTCTGTCTCTTTCCTATAGTGTAGGTTCACAAGGAGAGGGACTCTGGTTTGATTTATTCCCTTAAGCAATACAGGCACATCCAAAATATATTCATTGAAAGAATCAATCAATCAGTCAATCAATCAATCAACCAATGGCAGGAGAAACAAGGTCAGTTTGAGAATTTCTATTTAAAAAAAAAACACATTTCCCAACAATGTGTCAGTAGCTAGAAAAGAATTGCGACTTCCAAAAGGAGAAGGGACGTGGTTTCCTACAAAACACCCCCTTCTTTGTTATTCCCCACTTGTTTCTCCTGAAGGAAACCAGTAAGTGACAGGCAGGTCACAGAGTGACAAACAGGTAAGTGTCGCACCCGTATTTATGTAAAGGCTGTGTCAATAAGATTAGGGGAAGGCTCCAGTCATCAGGTGAATTTGCTGGTTTGACTCCTTCTCATGCATCTCCCAGGGAGGAGGGCTATGCAAAGGAAAGGCCCTGGACAGGGAACACTGGCCACAGCTGTCTCTGCACTGGCGGCTCCTGAGCTGGCTTCACCACCCGCCACCGCCACCTGCCACCCACGTGGCATCCGGCCCATTCATCCTGTGAACACTGTAGAGTGACCGGCTCACTCTACAACCATGGCCTTGAACTTTCAAGGCTTTGACGCTGACAGCCCTGCACCCAGGCAAACTGGGATGGATGGCCACTCTACTTTGCAAATATTACTGTCAAATATTCCTAGAGAATTTTCTTTTTATCTTGAGAAGCTTATTTTGCAAGGACTCACAAAGCATAAACATAACTGTGAGCATTCACCATCACATCCCAAGAATGTGGCCATTTCCTTAGACGAGGTCAGCCTGGGGCTGTAATGAGGACATGTGAGGTGCTCAGGATGCTAGAGTTTGATGAGCCCCATTAAGGAGGGAACACAAACACCCTTGCTTTAATGGCTGTGGCACAACCTTTCTGAGTTCCTTTTATGGACATTCGTCAGAACGTTTGGCCTCACCTGGTTGATGAGCACTCCTGCTACGGTGGGCGAGATGGCTCCTGCTATGTGTGCAAAGATTTGCATCAGCCCCTTGAGGAAGCCAGCATACCTGAGGGCAGGGGGACACCCATCGGTCAGCAGAGGGTCAGTCTCGGCTGGGCTGTCGGGACTTATGCCTGGCCCTGGGGAGCCTGGAACTGTGCCCATTCTTGTTTTTTTTTTTAATTTTTAAATTTATTTTTCGAAAAATAAACGATAGTGGAATCCATTACAATTCTTATTACACATATACAGCACAATTTTTCATTTCCCTGGTTGTATATAAAGGATGTTGACACCAATTCGTGTCTTCATACATGTACTTTGGATAATGATGCCCATCACATTGCACTGTCCTTGCTGACCCCCTGTCCCCCCTTCCCTCCCACCCCTGTGCCCTATCTAGAGCTCACCTGTTCCTCCAGGCTCTCCTGCGCTCACTCGTGTTTAAACCTGAGTACAGTGAGCTGACTGAGCGTTGGTAAACTCCTGGGCGGGGCCTGAGACTTCCAAGGGGTAGCCAGCACTAACTTGTCATTGTCACGCATACAAATGGGCAGGGGAGGGTCTGCACCTGATGTGGATGTTTTCTTGGTGCCGGCTACTCAGCCAGACCTTCTAGCTTTCTTTGGGGGTACAAAAGCCCCTCCCTGGATGAGAGATGCTGCTCCCTGAGACCAAGGTGTCTCCACATGGTTTGCTGGTTCCTCACCTGAAGATGAAGTACGTCCTGTTGCCTGAGACGGGACCTGACAGGAGCTGTGCCCGGGGCTCTCAGTCACCTCCCTGCTTGCCCATGTTGGAGGAGACTCCTCCTCCTGGCTACCGTGCCTTCCCCTTAGCAAAGGCGTGGCTGGGCCTGCCCCGTGGAGCGTAACAAATGCTCTCTGAGGTCAGCCCTGGGTATCTGTCCCCAGGACGAGTCATCAGAGGCTGATGACTCTCCCAGCAGAGCTGTCATGGGGCCACAGGAGGCTCTGGTTCACACCTGGAAGCACTAAGCTCTCAGCGATCGGCCAGCTCAGGTGACTTTCCCGGAGTGACCTGGATGTAGGCTGCAGGTGACATCTCTTTGACCTGCTGCGGGTCCCAGCAGGGCTGGGGACCTGAGCCAAGAGCTCTGTGAGAATGAGGCGAGGGGTCCTACCGAGGAGCGATATCCAAGAAGTTCACCAGCACGCCGGCCTCACAGAGGCTGCTGAAGGCAGAAGACAGCACCAGGAAGACCATGCTGGTGCTGTGGCTGGATCTGACCCAGTGCAGGGCCACCAGGACCCCAGAGGAGAAGACCACGCCTGGGCAGAAGGACAGGTGGGATCAACAGGAGGCTGCACCGAGCCTCCCCCAGCCACTCCTGCCTCCAGCTGGGCCATTACCTATGGCAGTGAAGAGCTTCCTGATGGTGACAAGTCTGAGGACTCTTCTGGAGAGGAGGCAGTCGGCCAGGAGACCTGACAGGATGATGCAGACACAGCCAACAACAAAGGGCAGAGCCGACAGGATCCCGCTCTGAGGACGGACGGAGAGAGGTGAGTGCATGCGCCCCCACCCACTGAGACAGACAGTCCTCCAACAGACTGCCCACAGCTGTGGCTTTTCTTTATAGACACTTCCGTTTTCATGTACATTTCAGGCATTGGAATGAGCCAGTGAACTTTCAGTACTTAGGGAAAGATGTGCATACAGCTCAAGTTTCAAAAAAAGAAAAAGAAAAAAGAAACGTTCTCTTGATATATAAGGATCATGTGGAAATAGGTATTAAAAAGACCAAAGTCCAGCAGAAAGATGAAGGAAATGAACAGACAATTCACAGAAAAAGGAAAAACAAGAGGCTCCTAAACATGTTAAAACAAACCCAACTTCACTTAGAATAAAGCCATAGTGAGAGGTTACTTTTCATGAATCAAATTGGCAAAGATTAAAAAAGGATTAACATGTTTCGATGGCACTGCAGGGACTTGGGTCCTCACAGACATTAGTGGTGCCCACGCAGAACAATTTGACAAATATAAGTGGATAGTGCATTTCCCCTCTGACTCAGAAATCTCCCATGAAGACATCTACTCCCCAGAAATCGTTGTGCAAATGTATGACAAACGAAAAAGGCTTTTGCTGCAACGTTGTTCAATGATGGAAACCCCTCAATATTGCCCAGTACAGTTCCTGTGTACTGATATAAAGAGAACCTTAAGGTATACTAAATGGCAAAAACCTAGATTACAAGGCAAAACCATGACCCATAGGCCATAGGTTTGGTGAAAAAAAAAAGTTGAGAAAATAAGAATATATATTCGTGTATGTTTGCATTCTCACAGAGAAACAATGGGAAAAATGTGAGAATTCAAAACAAAAAAAAAAAAAACCTGTCAATAGAGCAGGCCAGGAAGACAGGGAAGATTAGAGACAAGACCCAGAGTAACATTTTTCACTCTTCATATAGCTTTATCACGGCAAAATTATGTAGTTTTGCAAAGGTTGAAGCTTGTTATTTTTAATTCAACCTCCAAGTTAAATTCTTACTAAAGAAAACGAAGGGGAAATGAGATCACACTTTGCTTTGTATAATCCAAATAATGGAAAGCTTAGCTTCCCCCTAACTCGTGCACAGATGGCAAGCCACGCCCGTTTGGGTTAAGTGGTACAGAGGGCACCCCCAGAGCAGCAGGCCTCCTGGGCTGCGGACTTCCCGGCCTGGGGAGCTCTACGGTTTGGCCACACTTGACTTCCCATTTGACTGTCGTCCTCGTCAGCCTTGGCCTCCCCACCTGACTTTACACCAGAGACTGGGGCTCCTCCAGCCAGGCTCAGAGGTCTGCTGCTTGGCTCAGGCATCCTGCATGCCCGGCCCTTCTGCACCCCTGGTTGCATTTCATTTTCCCCTTTGAGAGGACACAGAGCCACTCCTCCCTGGGGCTTTGGGAGTCAGTGCCTCCTTCCTGCATGTGTGCCCCGGGCTCTGACATCCTAGGCAGGTCAGATGTCCCTTGGCGGCTGTGTGCGTTTCCACTGGAGGCGACCCTGCATGAGAAGGCGCCTCTGTGAGCAGAGAGGTGGGAGGTGATAGTGGTCACTACGGCTGCCACCTCTAATAACTCTTTGCCACCTGAAGACATCCATCTAGCGGAAATCGGACAGCTTCTCCAGCTGGCCAGCAACCATTCACTTTGTGAAGATGTGGAGGGTCGTACACCCACGTGCCCTCTTTTCTCCATGTGATACACGTACAAAATATTTTTTTAGGGAAACATCATCCTCAATTTTTTTAGGTAAGCTCTACTTGGGACGGTTTTCTTCTGTGCTTCTCGGTCACAGATTTTCATTGTGTCTATTATTTATGCTGCCAGCAGTGTCTCAGTCACAAATGTTGACTGAATTGAGAATAAAATGTTTGCAAAGGACTCTTAAACATGAATTGTGGGACTGTCACACAGACCTACAACCATGACCCGCTGCTCCGACGAGCAGTAAACCACATGGTGAGGCTGCATTTCCTGTATGGAGTCCTGGGCCTAATCCACTCATTTTGCAACCACGGGAGACACAGAGGATTGTAGAATGAAGCATTTAAACAGAAGAACAAAATGAGCTTTCTCTGTACTCACATCTCTGAGGTTGGTTTGAAGTACGGAACTGATGTATGTGGGCGTGTACGACATTATGGTATAAAAAAGCCAGTATTCACAGAAGTAAGAGACAACGATGGCCCAAAGTGGCAGGGATAGGATCATGGCTTTTAAGGGCAGAGTCCAGCCTGGTGAACAGTCCTGGAAGAAAGCACATATCAACACCCGCTCCATCGGAAGACGGGCTCTGCTCTGCACCGTGAGGTGCCAGGTCGTGGGGAGAGGGCAGGGGCCTTGCTCAGGATACCTGTTGAGCCAGGGAGCACGTGATGTATCTCTTCTCACCAGCACTGATGAAGGGGTGATTCCCAGGGTCATTGTAAACGAGAGGAAACCAGAGAAGGCAGCAGGCACATCCAATTCCACCTGGGAAGAGAGGATTGTTCTTTGAGTTGGCCTCTTCCCCAAGATGGCTCCTCGGTTGGCAGAATGACCGACACCCACACTGCAGCCCGTCACCAGCACCCGGCCCTGTGCTGAGTGGAGACTCCCCACCGCGTGGCCAGGGTTTTTGCCCTGTTCTGAGCCCACCACTGCCAAGAGGAGCATGCTCCTGCTGACCCATTGTCCAAAGCAGATGACAGACACAGAGAGAAGTCACCCAGTTGCCTTGTGGGACTACGAGTGTAGAGATGGCCGTTTTAAACCACTGAGATTTGGAGGTTTGGAAATGCAGCGGTATTGATGCAATAGCACGCTGCCACAAGCTATTAGTGTGTCTGTCCCATGTGCCTGGAAATGTTCTCACTGTTCCTGTAGCAACCAGCATCCCTCCTGAGAGTCACGCTTCCACAAAGTCCCCTCTTCTCCACCTTTCCACGTCTTTCCCTTACCTGAAGCACTTGAGATGTAGCAGCAGCACATGTTAGGTGCAATGGATCACCCAATTTCTAGAGAAATGAAATTATTCCTCTGGAAAGGAATCGTCCCTGATTTTCACATTATTTTGGTCCCCGGGAACTTGACATCAGCACTGAGTGGCAGCATGAGCCTTCTTGGAATTCTCCCCTTAGAGTCAGGTGTGGTGGCGCACACCTGGGATCCCAGTGGCTCAGGAAGCTGAGGCAGGAGGATCCTAAGTTCAAAGGAGACCCTAGCAACTCAGCTAGACCCTGTCTCTAAATAAAATGTGAAAAGGGCCTGGGGATGTGGCTCAGTGGGTAAGTGCCCCAGGGTTCAATCCCTGGTATCAAAAAGAAAAAAAAATATCTCCCCTTAGAATCTTGAGGGAGTTTTAAGTGTTCTCGCCACATAAGCGGCTTGCCATATGCACGTCCCTTCACAAACATTACACAGCAGACACCTCCATCAAGCATTGTGCTAAATTTTGAGACTATAGGATACACAAATACAATTTTTCCCTCAAGGAAGTTAATGGGGTGGGGGGCTAGACATGAAAATTAGCAATGTGGTGGACTGGAGTTGGAGGGTGTTAATAGTGACTCAACAAGTCTTTAGTGGTTCCTATTTTGTACATGCTGCTTGCTAATCCTCAAAATCACAAGCATGGTAAATCTTTCCCATTGTTTAGTAAATTTCATAATCTGCCCTTTTGGCATTTTTTAAAGACAGTCTTTGAAGACTGATATTCTATAGTAATTAATATTCATTCATTTTTTATGCATGTAGTTGCCTAATGTTACAGGAGCCCTTGATTTAAGAGGATGACCCTCTGATGTAAACACTAATGGCACTCACCCTAAGGAACCAGGGAATTTACAGGATGGATATCCGAGTGTGTCACAAGTCAAACATACAAACATGAACTGGCAGCAGCAGGGCAGTCCCATCCAGAGCTCAAATGAAAGTAAAACGTGAAGCTGTAAACTACTGCCTTTGGAACACTCCAGAACTTTCTGCAGCATCTTTCTGTGTATTGTGTCCACTCTTTAGACTCTGATGGTCTGTCCTGCAGGCTCTACTGACTGATTCTCCACTCCAGGCAGTATTTTACCTATGATTAGTTTGCATTCACACAATTTTCTGGAAGTGGTAAAGAATGTGTTCAAAAAAAAAAAAAACAACCATAGCCTGTGATCACAGTTCTCCTGAGATAACATTTTCCATGTCTTATGAAAGAAATGGCTCTGGGATCCTTTGGGTCCAACTTAGAAGCAGTAAAGAATCCTATGATGCCCCTAAATCCATAAGGTTATTCTAGCTTTGCACCGAGGCTACTGAGACTTAACCGCTGTCGTAGAAGCCGGCATGATTCACAGCACGATTAGAGCTGAACAGGATCCACTCATGCCTCCTCAGGGTCCACACCTACTTGGATTGGCTCACCCAGAGTAAGCGGCATTACAGAGATCATGCTTAATGCTCTTTGTCTTCAGGGAAAATTCCAAGATTTGAAGAGCACAGACTCACCGAATATATAGAAGACATAAGGCCATCCTATGTTCTGGCAGATGAGGCCACCAGTGAGAAGGACAATGAAGGTCCCCAGCATTGACCCTGAATGGAAGATGCAAGTGTTCTGGGTGAGAGCCAGGCTTGGGAGTCCACGCGCTTCCCGCAAAACCGCCAGGATTGCAGGCACGGGCTTCCATCCAGGTTGCCTGGCTGCAAAGCCTGCTCCTCCTCTCAGAAGGTGTGTGACCTTGGATGATTGTTAGCCTATGTGTGCCCCAAGCTCCTGAGGTGAGAAAGGAAAAGAATCATACATGGCTGACTCATAAGACTGTTCTGAGACTAACAGGAAATGAGTACGTACGAAACACAAGGATGTTGGTGCACAATAGTGCCCAGTTCTGATCAAGGTAGTGCAGGCTGCTGCTTGCGAGCCAGGGCTGTGGTGATGGTAATTGGAATGTGAGATCTCGGGGCCTTTGAGGGGTGTGGCCTGGCGCTCTTGGACAAGGTGAGTGAAGGTGAGTGGGAGGTCAGTTACCTGATCCAGCAATGGAGGTGAGTTGACTCCTTTCCAGCGGGGGAGCCCATTTGACCCAAATTGAATATTGACCTGTTAATACCATAACCTGGAGGGGGGATTTCTGATCTTAGGAACATGAGATCATTCTGGAAGCTAGGCTCCATTCACACTTGGGAAACATCTTAGTACCTGGGCTATGCCTTGGATGACCCGAAGGACGATGAGTAAGGCCACTCCAGCATCAGCGGCCAGCGGGATGAAGAGGGTCAGGACGGAGGAAGCCAACAGGCCAATGCCGACCACGTACTTGGCTCCAAATATCCCAGCCACGTAGCCCGTGGGGATGGGGGCCACGAAGGAGCCATAGTTGAGGGAGCTGAGGATGATGCCCTGGATCTCAGGACTCCAGTCGTATGCAGGGACCTAGGCCACAAAGGTAACCTCACTGCCGGTCTGTGCTTACAAAGTTGGCTTCATATCATGAGGCCTTGCAGGCAAAAAGAAATACGCCATTCCCTTTCCTATTACCTCTCTCCCACCCTTCCAATTTACCAACTTCATAAAAGGGGAAAAAAAAGCTTAACATATGCCTAACACACTCTTCCCTGCCACCCTGACATAGCTAACTGACCAGTTAAAATATGAGCGTCCATGAAGAAAGAAAGCTTATAAAGAAGCAGAGACAGTAGACTCAAATCTGTGGAATTTGTTTTGTGGTGATTTCCATCACTGTGGGATAAGAATTTATGTCCACCAAATGGTAAAGGCTGTTTCCTTTATTCTAACTTAGCTCCTGCTTATACTCGTAAAGTCTCCTTAGACACACAGTATGCTCTTGTGCTGTTCCTGGCACATAGTATGCGCTCAATAAACACATTTATTGGCTAAAAGAGTTGCTTTCTTTTATAAGATAACCTTTTAAGATGATCCACTTGAGTAAAATAAAGGGTCCAGAGTCTCACTAAACTTACCACTGCCTTGGATTCCTTTAGAGATGAGTTCCAGTGGTCCTGGGGATGCGTGGGGGGCATCTCTGTGGAGGCGTTGGGCTGGCTGGGAGCCACCGTGCTGTTCACCATGGCTGTGATGGCAATGCTCAAGTTCATTTGTTGGGTGTAAATTGAAAAATTACAGAGCTGCAAGATGAGGGCCAACCCATGTCGGACGGAACAGAGACCTGCAAGAAGGGCACAGAAGGTCCCATCAGGACACCCCTGCCCACCCTTCCCAGGTCCAGAAGGTGAGAAGGTTGACATCTGCCTGAGATGGAAACATGGGGACAGCAGACCTTGCTGTGCAGGTGTCTGGGGGACCCCTGTCCCCTGGGGGATGTGGGAACAGCAGCCCCTTAGAGGCATTGCTCAAGCAGAGGCGTGAGGAGCGTGAGGAGTCAGGGGGAATGAGCCTGAGGGCAGGGCTCCCCAGGGCCTGAGATGAGAGGCTGGGGGCGGGGATGGGAAGAGCACTGCAGAGAGAGAACAGGCAGAGTCAGCGACCGACTGCAAATGGAGAGCGAGACTGAAGAACGTCCCTGGCCTGGGAGCTGACATGGTGCGAAATGCCGCTTTTAGAACTAGGGAACCCGGGCATTTAACTTGTTTCCAGGCTCAGGGGAGACGCTACCTGAAAGGTAGGCTAGGGTCAGAGTGCAGACGCGTTTTTATCTTTGTCTTGATACTCTGGGGCGAAAATGATGTCCCCATAATCCAGGCTTGCACAAAGCTTGCTCTTGCTCCATGGGAACTGTGGGGCCATCCCTTGATCAAGAAAGATACACGAGTCTGATGATGGTTGGAAAGGTTGACAGACTGTGGAGAAATCCAGAAGCAACGCATGATCCCTGCCCTGGGCAGTGAGTGTCCTTCCCAAGCTCCTGCAGGGAGCAGATGCACCAGAGCAGGCCGCATTGGGCTTCTTCCTCTGCAGATGCTCCCTCAGGTCTGGGAGCTGACATTCGGTCTAACTCTGGGGCACTTAACTGTGCATGGACCATCCATCGGTCACTGTCGTGTGGATTCAGCAGATTAAACTGAGAAAGGTTGTCACAGCTACAGCATCGCCTCTTCCTCGCCAAGGACGCCTGCCCACGTCTCCAGGCCTGTTTCTCTGTCCCAGGGGAGACTTCCTACTTGTCTTCAGTTAAGGCCCACGCAGTAGGTTAAGTACCTTGTATTGTTTCTGCAACTGAGGTTTGTTTTTTTTCCCCTATTATTTTCATCAGCTTATTTTTCCCCCTTGGGTTTTGACTTAAAAAAAAAAAAAAAAACGAAAAGAAAGATTTTATGTACAAATAATGGGGAAAATGAGTTATTTTTGCTGTTTGCAACATTTATTTCATTCCTTAACTTTATTCACCAGCATTTTCAAAACTTTGCTAAATAGGAATAACAGGATCAAGCACTCCTGCTACCTCTGAAAGTCCTGGGAGTGCCTCTCATGTGGCACCATCTAGCAAGCCATTGGGAGTCGGTGTGACCTGTGTCTAAACTGCAGCAAGTCATCCTGTGCCCATTTTTAGGTGATTTTTTTTCAATCCTGGCATCAGTTACCCGGATCCCACCCCCAGGTGTTGTATCAGAGATGTGTGTTCCTCGACGAGTTACTGATCTCTTGTGGCCACCTGTTGCACCTGTAAAGCAGGGGTCATGATGGAGCCCCCCCTCCAGGCACCATGAGGAGAAGTGAGTCAGCTCACAGAAATTCACTTGTTATCGTTAGTAATATTTGACTTTCCTTGCATTTGGGGAACATCTCTTCTTAATACACTGTTTTTAATGAAGAATATGATTTGTTATCTTAGAATTTTACTCAGCATATGTAATTGGTGTGTGTGTGTGTGTGTGTGTGTGTGTGTGTGTGTGATTTCTGCCATACATGTTACCTTTGCAAGAAGAGGGAGAAGAAGGAGAAGAGGGTGAAAGGGAAGAGGAGGAAGAAAGCTCTAAGCTCTCCATCTTGATCTGTGATCAAGACATAGACGTTTTCATTTTCCCTTAATAAACTTTCCGTGTTAGGACAGTTTTAGGATCATAGAATCACTGAGTTCCCACACGTCACATAGGTTTTCCCTGTTATTAACCTGGTGTGTTGGTAAGGCACATTTGACACGATTCGTGACCTGTGTTGACCTACTAAAGTTCTCAGCTTTCCCCCGCTGGGCATCCCCCTCTGCATTTGGTTGTCGGGTCTCCGACCCACTCTCTAACCCTTCTCTTCTCTTCTTTTTGGTGGTGTTGACCATTCTGAAGAGTCCCCTCCAGCTACTTTATGGAATGTGCCTTGATGGCATACAGGACGTTTTCTCATGGTCACACAGGGGCCGTGAGTTTTTGAGAGGAAGCCTGAGGTGTACCAATGCTGCCCAACTGCCCATGTGGCTGTCACTTGGACCCTTGGCTGGAGTTCAGGGGGGCTGTCTATTCTCCCTAGGAAGTACACTGCAGCGCACCAGCCAGGACCTGCGCTCGACATCAGCTTGCATTCTTTGGAAGTCTTCTACCCAAGCTACACGGGTATTTTCCTGCTCCTTAGGAGTCTCCCAGTTTTTCTAGAGAGGCAACCAAGACAATTTGTGTGTTGGTTTGTTTGATTAAAGGGAAAAACTTTTTTTTTTTACAACTTTCTCCATTTCTTACACGTTTTTTGAAATATACAATTTTAATTTTTCTTCTTCATTATAATTGCAAAATTATAATTATGTAAGATTTAAATAACTTATATATTTATAGGTATAATTACTAGGAAATCAGTTGCTGCATGTTTTCTCATAGTCAGTCTATTATGTACGGTTCAATGCTTCTGTCTCCCGGTTTTCCGCAGGGTGTCTCCTCTTTGCTTGATCACTCTGAGAGGCAGATTGCTTGCTATCTTGCTGTGAGTGGCATCTTCTTTATCCAAGAACCACTTCTTACATAGGTTTTTCACCTCAGTCTCCTTCACACCTGAGTTCACGTGATTTTCCTTACTTCAATGTTCTGCGTTCTTCCCTTGAATGGGAAGCTTCGTCGTGACGTCCCCTTCCTGAGTGCTGTCTTCTCCCTCTGCAGGTCTGCCACCTGCCGTGGGCTAGTCTGGCTGCCTCTCTCTCAGGCCACGGCTCCACGCAGCCGGTTGGACTTCCCATAGTGACAGCTTCTCTCCTTGCTGCTGCCAATCCCGAAGTAGTTCTGCGGTGACACTTTTTCCCCTTAGTCTCTTTTCTCCTCTGCTCTGAGGTCGTGTTTCGTATTTTCCTGTTGGTTGGCTTCATACTGTGACAAGCGGCTGTACCACCGTCATCTCATCAGTACCGAGATCCTGAGGAAGTGTGAGGTGAAGTAGTCTCCATTTCCCCCTAAAACAAGCACGCGGAGCACCCAACGTGAGGGCGGACGACCGCGGCTCTGGCTGGTGGGGTGAGCTAGCTCCTGGGGAGTGGGCGCGCTCCTGCAGGCCCTCCTTGAGGGGCCACATGGGACTCTTCAGATTTAACTGCACCCAGAGCTCAGAGCCTAACAGGACACGCACTCACTATGCTACAGCTCTTAAAATGAGCCGTTACCTTTCTCTGATGCCCTGATAATCTCTTTAATCAGCACATTCCCTTCCTTTCTCCCCCCTGTGCTAACACACATTCCACGCAGGCCTCTGTGGTGCCCCTGAGCCTCCACCTGGAAGGGCCCACTGCACGTGGCTTTGTTCTGTGTGTTGACACCCCACGCAGGGTCACCTTTGCTGGCTTGAGGCAAGGCTGGCACGCGGGTGGCAGTGGTGTGTGGGTGTCATGGAATTCCTCCCCGGTTAAAGGGAAGCTAACATTATAACCCTGCAGTAACTCTGCGGACGTGGGCCAGTGCTCTCCAGTGTCTGAGCTGGTGTCTGCGGCCACTCCTGCTGGCCTCTGCTCCATGGCGCTGGCTCCGAGGCTAAACTGCAGATCTTTAGAAAGGCCCAGGAGCCAGGAGGGGAGGCTCCTCCGCCACTGGCCACTGCAGGCCCTGGGGGGCCTCGCCCCTGTGGCCTGCACAGCTACTGTCCTGGGAGCCTGAGGGGGAGCCCCACAGAGTGCTTTCCTCTGAACCCTGCACTGTGCTTCTGGGACGGGTGGCCTGGCGGCTCCTGGTGTCCCCCCTGACTTTCAGATTGTGTTAGGTCTGTGTCAAGGGCTGTGGAATGGCCGGCTCCCTGGTTTCCGCCTCAGTGGAGGTACTTTCTTAAAGTGTACAGTGGACTCTTCTGACTTCCACAGTCCAGAAGGGGCTCTACCTGCAGATTGGCCTGCAGAGGCCATAGGCAGGGGCGTATTGAAGTCCACGAAGTTTTTTTGACAGGAGGAAAAGAAATGTCCCTGACATTGCTTATAGAGTCTCAGTGTCATCCCCACCCTTAGGCAATCTCTGCAGTCCCAGGGTGGGGACAGGTGCATGGAGTACTGTATACATGGCTCTCATTAAGGGCACCTGAGTGGCAAACCCCTCCCCTCATGCTAAGCGTGTGAGCGGCAAACTGCTCACCCCATAGGCACACCCTGGGCGTGAGGCCATGTGTGGCCGTCCCTGTGCTTGCTCCGTGGCCCACTCCTGGATTGGTCGCTGCAAGGACAGTTAGCAGACATTGCACTGGTGGCTGCTGTAATCTGCTTGGCTACTGCCTGAGTATATATCCATGGTAACTGTGCAATAAAATCAGACCTGCTTCCTGCTTGGTTTCCGGAGTGATTGATTAGTGACTCCGTAGCCACATTCTCCTCTGCCCTGTTCTGTGGACCTCCTTGCTGGATGAGAGAGCCCACGCACCGCAGAGGGGCACAGATGTGGAAACTGCAGTCTTCGGACTGCCATGCAAACAGATTCTGCTCAGATTTTACCAGCGGGTTGCCCGGCGCCTGTGTGTGGAAGGCTGAGTGCACTGAGGAGCCGTGGTGCTCCCAAGACAGCTCCAGGCAGCAGCTGAGCATTAGTGATAGCAGGCGGGGAAGCTATGCCTGTGACTCTGGGGTGCTCTGAAAATCGCCCTCTTTGCCATGTGCCTAGCTGGGGTCATTGGCAGTGATGGGGTCATTACCACTTCTGGTTTTCCCCAAAGTGACCAACCTGACTTGTTTCCCTAGGCTTCCAGAGTCTGTGGAACCTTCCCGCCCCCTGTACTGAACCTCTTTCTTCTTGAAACGCTTAGACAGGCTTCTGTTGTTCTAATCAAACTCAGACTGACCCAGCAGCTCATGGGCCCCGGTGGTAAAGGGGATCACGGGCAGCGTGGGGTCTGTCTCCATCGCAGCCCCACGAGTCCTTAGCTGAACCCTGGAACTGAAGGGACAGTGACCCTCCAGCAGAACCTGGGGCCACTCCTGTTCACTCAGGCTCTTTGGGGGCCTGGGAGGATGAGCAGATTCAGATGCGACCAGGTGACCAGAGTGGCACATGGTGGTGACGGGGTACTTCTCCACACCCCATGAAACTCCTGCACTTGGTGTCCGGGTGTCTTGGGAGCCCAGTGATGCCCAGCAAAGACTCCAGGGGCCTGTGCGACCCTCAGTGCCCAGAGGAGCCCCATCCATGGCCTGGGGTCTGACGCTGAAGACCTAGGAGCACCCTGTGGACACGAGACAGGGAGCCAGAAGGAAAAGCTGGTGTGGACACTAGCAACGACCCAGAAAGGGTCTGCTCCTGCAAGTTCCCGAGAGACACAAGGAGCTGGCTGAAGAGTGGAGCCAGCAGAGGGGTCTGGCTTGTCAGGTGGGGAGGCTGCCCAGAAGGGACGGCTGCCAAGTAGCAAGCTGCCTTTCGCATCGCCAGGCTGCATAGGGGCACAGAGGCACTGGCTGACACAGCTGGCTCCCAGGTGGTCATCAGGGGGCTGAGCAGCCTGGTGGACAGGTGTCCTAGAAGACTGCAGGAAACGGGGAAGATCACACGTGAATTTCCCTTTAGACAAGGTATAAATGAGCACTCTAAGGACTGCCAACAGGCGGGCGGCAGAGGGGACAGCATGTGAGTGGCAGTAGTAATAGCTAACGGTGCCTTAGTGCTTACTGGGTGTGAGGTGCTGGTCTATGGATTTATGGTCTAATAAATCTGATTCTTAGGGCAACAGTTCAAGTTAGTTTGTGTTATTATTACCCCATTTTTGAAATGGAGGACTGAGATATGGAACTATTACGTAAATTTGTCTAACATTACGCGGCTCAGAAATGGCAGAATGAGGACTGCCAACTCAGGGAACCTGGCCTTTGACCGTTGTTCTGACCCTGGATGTCATGCTGTGTCATGGTTCAACTTTATACGTAAGTTTTTCACGTTATTGGCTACTGATTGCGGGGAGGGGATTGAGGGGCAGGGCAGACAGGATAGAAGAATCTGGCCAATGACATAGTCCAAAAGATGGCAAAACACACAGAGACAAGGGAGCACTGGAGCCAGTGCCAATGGAATAGAATTCATTCTGGATGGCATGGTGGTGGGCTGCAGGATGAGCATCCGCAGGTGCATCCTGAGTTCCTTGGTGGGCTGGACTGGGGAGCCTCTGTTCTTAAACACATGCACACTTCCCACAGACGGACTGGCCAACATGTTGAGCTTCTAAGTGTTCCATCTTGGTCAGTGTTTTGCTTTGTGAAGGCATTATTTTAGGGCCAGCCTGTATCCTTAGAAAAATCAATGCATAATGGTTATAAGTCATTAACAACTTGGGGTAAAATAAGGCATTCCGTGTTTAACCTTGTGGCATAGCCCAGGAAAACACCAATTGCAGATGAGAGGAAGGAGGACGGAAGATCTAGGACACGGTGGGAAAGAAGGCCTGCTCCTTTTGAGGCGGGTCTGGGTGTAACATGAGCTGAGAGATCCACCGGCACGAGCCCTGGATGTTTTCAGAGAAGCCAAAGTTGCTTCCCATGTTTCCTACTTAGAATCTGCTTCATTTTTCATTTGTTCATCTCTAAATAATATTGTACTCCACACCTTTTCTATCTACCTTCAGGATTTCTTGTGAGAAATGAAATAGGAGTAAAACGGCTTTTTAGCTATGTACAATTCTTGGCAACTAGCAGTAGCAAAGAATGCTGTACACCAACAAAAGGGAGGTTGCAGTGACAGAAATCCCAGTTTTTCCCACAGTCGCATTCCAAATGCATGATTTTACCTTTCCTGGGGGCTTGCTCTTGAGCGGTGTTTGAATGACCATCGCTGGAAATGTCTCCTGCTGCCACCTTGACAGCAGCTTCAGTAGACATGCTGGTCCTCTCCTCCCAGAGACTGGCATTCACCCACTGAAGTAAAAGAGCACAAAAGCAAATAAGGACAGCGAAGTGTCCTGTGTCTTACACAACACGGCTCCAGTCTTTCCTCTTAAGAGTTAGGAAGGATCACCGTTTGGTGGGAAGAGGACTGCACTTGGGCTCAGTAAGTGGATTTGTCTCCTTAGCTCTATCATCGTGTGGTCTTGGAAAAGTCACAGTCACTCCAAAGTCAGGAATCTAGCCTGTATTGCCTTGGTAAACTATAAGATTCTGTCTAGTTCTGCAGCCCTGTGACATTAAGCTGATACATCAACTGGACGTGGAAACCTGACCAACCTATTTGAAATTTCATCTGGAAGATTTCAGTGGATTAAAGTAATTGGAAGGAAAAAAAAAAGCCCTGTCCATTACAAGCACCTAGAAAGAGTGAATAAAACGTGTCAAACATCACTTTAAATACCTGGCTCCAAAGATAGCGAGCAATCTCCCCATGGATGTAATGAAAAGTGAGAGGCACACACTAACTTCAGAGACTGTGACACTGGGGCTTGCAGGGAGCACCGACCTCAGTGATCCAGGAGCGAGGGATCTGGGGCCCTGTGCATGGGAAGAAGGAAGCCTTTGGCTCATGCCAGGAAGAAGATCACAATGGAGAGTCTAATACACAGCCAGAAGCCTTCAAGAGGTTCAAAACTCAGTTTAAAAGGCTCTAGAGCATGGCACCATGAGCCAGTGGCACACTCTCTGGAGGGGCAAGAGGAGGTGGTGGCAGAAAGGGAATGAGAAGCCAGAACAACGACCCCTCTCTGCATAGGCTCAGGCCGGATGTGCTAACTCCAAGACACGACCATCTGGAGACTGAAAATGATCAGTAGACCCTTTGCCACTTGGAAACAACCAGAGAAGTTCTAGGGCCAAACGGATGTGGAGAGCAAGGGTGGGGCAGACATTGCTGTGAGCTAAGAAACTTCCACCTGCTCTCTGGAGTGCACCACCGCAGCTGTTCAATGAGCACCTGGCAGACAAGCAGCCGATTTGCATCCTACAAAGCACAGATGCAGGACCATGGAGCCCTGCAGTCTGTATCCGAGTTCAGAAACAAGCTGAAAACTGAATTGAAATCCAAAGCAATGCTCATGGGTAAAGTAGAGGGGTCCTGTTAATTCTGAGAAGAAACTGGTAGAATAAAGTATGGAACATTCTGCTTTAAAAAATAATAATGATGTGTGTATCCTTCCTGGCCATACCCTGGGGCAGCTAGTTGGACAGAAAAGACTTTTTCAGCTGTAGGAATTGAAGACCACTTTCACTGTAAAAATTTCCCCTAGAGCCATAGGGCTCTTCAAGTGAACCAATGCCCGAGAGTTCGCTCTCAGCTGCTCATTCAGTGGTTCAGTAAACATTTGTGGGATAAATGAACGGGGCGCTCTTCCTCCATGGCCCCTTCTCCTGCATGATTGAGGACTTGGTTCTCTCTCAACCACCCCCCTTCCTTGCTTTTGTAACTGAAGCGCTTGCCAGGTTTCCATATAACCAGCAATCATGGCTTTGCTGGAGCTTATGAGAACACCGAGATTTAGCAAGAGAGAGCAGAGATAGGACGATGCTATGGTATGACCAGGGACGCATCCAGGGACAATAGCTGAGAAAATGGGCTCTGGTCAAAGTTACCCCCAGGAGGGGGTGTAGCATGAAAGGAATACACATCAGTGGCTCTTGCTATAAAGAAAACAAGAGCAGCCTGGCACTCAATGGTGACTCGCACGAGGGAGGGAGAAGGGTGGACGGTGCCAGTCCAGCTGCTGTACCTTGTCTGCACAGATACGTGTATTTTAGCTGACATGGGAAGGACGAGAAGGAGGCAGAGGTGGACGAGAGCCGCTGGGTGTGTTTCCTGGGAGACCGTGGTGCAGTGTGGTCATGCAGGGTGTGTGAGGGCTAGAAGGAGAGGAGACCCCTGGGTGGGCTGGGCCACACCACTTAGGGTCCTACAGGCCTGGGGATGGCAGGGGACCACCTTGACTGAGGTGTGGTATGTGGTCCATAAGGGGCCAGATGAGGACCAGGAGCCCAGGGAGGAAGCGGTGTCTTCCCCTGAGCAAGAGTTGATGACGCCTGGGCTGGGACGGCTGTGTGACAGGACCACTTCCTGGACTTATATCGGGGACCAGCCAGTTAGACTTGCTAAGGTGGCCCTGTAGGAATGAGAGAAAGGCGGGACTCGTCAGACATCTAGATGAAGGCTCCAGCAAAGGAGAGAGTGGCTGTGTGCCCAGTGAGACAGGAACAAGTGAGGGGGACAGGTCTCAGACAGAAAGCGAGAGTTTGGCTTTGGACACCTGGAGTTTGAGATGCCTGTCGGAGCTAGGAGGGAAGGCTTTCTGTCCTGGAGTCCACAGCTTGGGGCTGAAGGCCCTGGGAGAACTGAAAATTTGGAAATCCTCAGCCTTAGCTGTTTCTGAAGACCAGGTAGATGAGAAAAAGCTAGCAAAGAAATCGGGCCAGCTTATCCGTCTCCTTACCAGGATGGTTAGTGTCTGTTCCCACTGACACAATCTGTGCCTCCGCCCCCATGCTCTGTGGGGTGACTTTCCCCTAAGAGACCACACAGACGAGCTCAGGTGGCAGTGCTGCATGTGCCCCCCCCCCCCCCAAAGGAACAGCTGGTGGCTCTTACGCACAGTGCCAAAATTAGAGCTCTCTGCCGGAACCCTTCACCCAAGAATGGCTTCCTAGAGCCACGAGAATTTCATTTTTGTTTTTTTCCCTATACGAATGTATAAGGAAGGTTAGGTAGGTTTTCAGTAATTTGATATTTTAGGCCTGATAAAAAATCTTCCCCTGGAAAACATTCACATAATTGCCTCATCACAGATATAATCGATGCTTTTATTTAAATTAATGTATCCCTCAAAACAAGCTCAGTACATGAATGCATGAATCTTATTGTAGATCATCTAGTGCCAATATATCCCTTAAAAGTATAGTTTAAACTTCTGGTTTGCATCCAAATGGCTCAGATAATGTCCCCCCCCACCACCACCACCACACACACCTATACTTTTAGAGACATTTATTCTCTGATTTAATGGATGGAGGATTGTCTCTCTTTCCAGAATTCTCCCAGGAGAGAAACGTTCTCCTCAACACCCACAATCTCTATCCCAAAGCAGCAAATTAAACATCTCTTAAAGGGGAAAAGACCCATCCCCGCCTTTCAAAAGTAGAATATTAAAAAGCAAAATCTTAAAGCCAACCTGAGGGAGGCAGGGTGCAGGATCCTCTTTACCTTTCAAATAAATTTCTCTCAGTTTTTTGCAATTGTCGAATTGCTTGCAGGTAAATGATTAGCGAAAACTCTAGCCCTGGTGTTAGTGACTGGGAGGGTTTTATTGGCTCAGTAGTTTAATTTTTAACTTTACTTTTATTGTTCAATTGATAAGCAGGTCAAGTTCACAGAATCTTCCTCATGCTTCAGGTTCATTTACTCCTGCCTTGGTCCCCCAGTCAGGACCCGTGCCCCGTGGGAGGCTCCTGGCCCCGCACCGGGCTCCCACGTTACTGGGGCCCCACTCCAGCACCGTCACCTTCCAGGGTCTCAGAATCATCACAGTCTCCATGCAGATGACCCCTGTCTGTCTCTTCTGAGTCCTTTTCCACCATCCCCCTGTTTAACCCATTAAGTCCGAAGGTTTCAATTCTGCAAATATCTCAATGAACTAGACACAAGTGCATGGAAGTGATTTAAATCACAATCTAGAGCATCCGTACATTATACTAGTATTATATCAGGATCATTATGCTGCACTACAATTATGTTATCAATTCATCATATTAATTTATAGCATAGTTGTTCAGCTATACTACAATCTAATTATATTTATGTACTTATATGACATATTAAATACGACCTTTACGTTTCTATAGGTGTTCCATATGTGGGACGACAGCACAAAATGTGTTTTCCACAGAGGAGAAACAGCACCTTTAGGTAGACTTGAGTGATGTTTGTGTTTTTCTGAGTAGGATTCTCTGCACAACGTCCATTGGGATTCCTGTGGAAATCAGCACCCTGTGACTCTGTTACCTCTGGCAGGGAGACATTTCAGAGGGTCTGTGCATGCTCGCCCGCTGTTTCTTTGCCTTTGATTTCCTTGTGAGCCCACTTGTGTCAAGGCAGCCCTTGGGAAAGCCGTCTTGAACTCTGCCCTTGAACTTGGCTTGTGAAGTCACACCCAGGGTGATCTGGCCAGTCCCCTCACCTTGCATGTTTTTCCGCTGACCGTGGACCCACCCTGACGTCATCCTTGAGCTCTGGACTTTACCTCTGCAGCAGGTTTTGACCCTCCTCCAGGGTCCATTAGGTGCTCGGTCTCAATGTGGCCATGAGCAGAGCTCCTGCACCCCCTTCAACCCTGCTGTTGCTCCAGGCTCCCTGTGTGGCCAGCGCCATCTCCACCTCCCCAGATGGACTCTGCAGAGACAGCTGAGTTCCCACTTTCCCTCACTACTCAACGTCTGCCCCACCAGCAGTTTCCACCCACACCTTTCCCACAGGCCATCGGTTTTCATTTCCTCTATTCTTATCAAAATAATCTGTCATCAGGACACACAAAACGATCTGCCTGGCCCCACAGTCTCCACTGCCTTTCATTCCATCTCCACGTAGCAGACAGAATGTTGGAAATGTAAACGGGATCATCTTACTTACTAGTTTAAAAGCCCCCCAGCCCCTTCCCAGAGCACAAAGGACAGGATGGACCCTTTTCCGTTTCCTTGAGGTGCTGTGAGACTTCACACCACCCAAGCTGGCCAGCCTCACGGCCCTCGCGCCTGCCACTCTCCGTCTTTACTAGCGCCAGGCAGCTCTGCCCACCTCGGCCTCAGTGCCGTGCCCCCAGCCAGGAACACACACGCCCACAGCCCCCGCAAGTGTTTCACTGATGATATCAGAAGAACAAATCAAGAAGCCTGTAATGTGACGTTTGAATAGT